TCTCTCTCTCTTTCGATCGTTTAGCTGAGGCATATAATATTATACAGGCTGGCTTCATGGACATGTTGAATGCCGTGTTTGAAGGTGTGAATTAGAATGATCGAAGTTTCCATACTTCCATTATGCATGGAAACAAAACAAACAAACAAAAAAACCCCAACAGTAAATTATAGGTGCACGCACATATTTGGGAACAACAAACTTTAAACACTTCGTCATGCAACCCTATACACACACTTTAATCATGCGACCCTTTACGTTACAATCATTTCATCATACACCCTCAACTCTCATTTTTTCATACAACCCTCGTCCTTCATTTCATTCATCAACAGCCTTATCCACACTTCTTCTTCTTCTTCTTCTTCTTCTTCTTCTTCTTCCTCTTCCTCTTCTTCTTCTTCTTCTTCTTCTTCTTCTGCTTCTGCTTCTGCTTCTTCTTCTTCTTCTTCTTCTTCTTCTTCTTCTTCTTCTTCTTCTTCTTCTTTGCGTTCTACTTATAGTAGATCTAGAGACTGCTGGTTCTTGCAGGTGATTATTTACTTGGGGGCTGCATGGCAGGCCCAGTTTGTTATTTCAGTTAGATTCCAAGTGTTTGAGTATTGCTGACAGTCATAAAATCCGCACTTTAACATTGTAGTTGTTACTTTAGTATTTTTATTCTCCACCTTCTAATTGCTGGTGTTGAGATAGTCCCTCTAAAATGTCAATTCAGTCTGTGTCGTTCAATATTTCTGCCTTTTTGTTTGCAAATGAAAGCAAATTACTCTTTAAAATTTCAACAATGAAAGCATTCATTTACTCTTTTTGAGAGTGTCATGTGCAGTGATAACTTCCACCATGCAGGGCACAGTCGAGGTGGTGGGCCTGTGACAAACTGGCATGCTTCCTTTTTATTTATTAAATGTTACCGTTTTTCCCACTTCGTAAGGCCCTATGTCTTCACACAGCCACATTCCAACCTCGAAAGTACTCTTTCTTAATAAAAAAAAATTCTGACAGGTGTATTTTCAATCTTGGTAGAAATAAATTTAGAATTTTGCTCGGGTGACAGCCAAAATCTGAACATCCGATTTTAGGACCACCAATGAGTGTTTTAACATAATATGTGCTCACAGGACCTCCGAGATCCCCCCACCCCTTTTTTCAGAGAAGGCTGGTTGCTCGATCTTACCTAGCCTAAGATCAGGCATGTGGCTGAAAGACACATGAAGGAGGGAGGAGTAGCAATAGAAAGTGTTAGGAGTAAAGGAGAGGAGAGAGGAGCCCATAGGAGGCCGGGTCGTTTTTGGGGGGTGGAAAGGGGGGGGGGGGGTGAAGACGAAAGCAGATGACTGAACTGGACGAGGGAATAGGAAAGATGGTTATAGTCGAACATTTTAGAGAATACTTTTTTTTTGTCGCTACAGGTTTCGATCCCGTGACCTTTTGAATAAGAGGCAAATACTGTGCTCCTAAATATAACACAAACCTCTACACTCACGTCCTCATACAACCCCCCTCCACACACACTAACTTCATTCATCATACAACCCACTCCCCCCTACACACACACACACACACACACACACACACACACACACACACACACACACAATCCGAAGAAGAAAATGGATCAAATACCTGTCAAAATAAGAGTTGACGAACATGTGTGCAGAGCCTTTGCGTTGGCTGTTAGGTCCGATGGTTCAGAAGATAGTACATACCCTAAGAAAACTGTAAGCCAATAGACACCCAGAATGACGGTGTTGAGGGCAGTAAAGGATTTGAATGACCCAGCTCGAGGACATGTGAAGTTCTAGCTTCGAATCCGAAAGTAGGCTTTTTCGACTTTTGTCACCCTTCCGAGAAATTGTCTATCCATCTTTGATGTATTTATCAATCTTTGTTACCATGTCACTTCCCAGAGATCCACCCTTTAAGCAACAATATACAAATTCTGCTTCTGATAACGTGTAGCCCAAGTCGGACCCCCCCCCCCCCCCCCAAACATCAACAACTAAAAATGTGAAAAGTCTTCAGAACAAAAGATATACACTAGACATATCAGACTGAAAATGTCCCTTGACGATTTAAAAATGAAAACAAAAACAAACAAAAAAATACAAAAACAAGCATCAACAACAACAACAAAAAACCCAAACAAACAAACAAACAAAAAACCCAAATGCCTGCTCTGACAGAAACAAGTGAGGAGCGAACTGAAAGCGGAAACACGTATTTAATGCTTTTTCTCTTAATACAACAGTGTAACACAGTGAAGCCAGAGGGCTCGTGGCTCGTAAATATCAGGTGAAATTAGTATCCTGGACACCGCTACCGGCGCGAGAAGCTTTAATTTTGCAACTCGTATTGTTGGACACACTGTTGGGGAGATCTCTGACCGTCTAGGGTGAGCATCACGCCCCTCCCTGCGCGAGAAGCGTGATTACAAACTGGACGCCACTGCCCAGAGCGGCATCCCAGGGAACCTTAGAGTGGGGCGTATTTATAACATCTTGCTGCCCCAAAATCAGTTAAATCCGTGATTTGTAAGATCATGAAAAACGATACCGAGAAGCATCTCTTACACGTTAATTGTAAACACGTGAGAGTGCACAAAGATTTGGCGCGTTCAAAGCCCATACGATCTTGGGAACTGGGCAAAGAAGATCATACAACCCCCAGAATGTACCTATTGAAGTCTGAATGATCAAAGCGGGATCATTACGACGCTAGGGCCTTATATACCCAGGGTAGCGTAGACTAGAAGGGCCCCCTAGACGAGACTAGAGGAGACTAAGAGAGAGAGACCAGACTAGAGTAGGAGCTAGACCAGGTTAGGCGATGGGTAGTGACAATATTCTTGTACACAGCTAGAAAGTCGTCTTTTCGACAAATGTTATAACCAGTGTTTCGGGAAATAGTAGTTTCCCTTCTGTAGATTATAAGTCCTCGAAGCTAGTACCATGTTTTGTTATAGGTCCTCGAAGCTAGTACCATGTTTTGTAAACGCCACACATTTCATTGTTGTTGATGATTAAATATTTAAAAAATATTACAGGGTGAAGTTTTCTTGTCATCTTTGACATAGCCTATACGATCACGTGTCAGAGAGGTGCAACCAGTACAACACATTTTAATACCGTTACAACAGTTCCTTAGTTCTTATATATAGTTTTTAGCTGTCTAGTTTTATACAGGTCACCCTGACAGCTACACTAAATGTACACAGGGTAATTACAAGGAAATTAATAATGCAACTTTCCAGACAAAAAGGATTTATTGAAAACTAAGAAACAACTAAAATTTAATATGGTTCTACTGAAATGATCAAAAGACAACGAGCAATCAGCCGCTTGAAATTCAAAACCGTGTTCTATGAGCAGTTTTTTCCTTAGAAAGTCAATGGAACACACATGTATGAAAGGTACTTCTGTCCATGTATGAAGATATAATATACACAAGAACATTCACACTAGCTGCAAAAAGCTACAGTATATGAAAATAAAGGCGAGAATATCGATTGTCATCATATTTATCACAAAAAGATAAATAGGGCTAGAAAGTCTAATAAATCTGTTTCAGACCCTTTATGGTACTCAAAGTTCTTGTCAGCTTTTAGCGACTGGCATTGAAATGAAAATCCGCATTGGAAAAGCACAGGCTGCTTTCATATCATATCTTTGGATAGGATTAGGAAGACCAGAGAGATCTCACTTCGAACAAAGCTGAAGATTTTCAATTCAAACGTGAAGTCGGTCCTGTTGTATGGATGTGAGGAATGGAACGCATCACAGACTTGTAGAAAGAGGATCCAGGTTTTCTTGAACAGGTGTCTAAGAAAGTTACTGAGGATCAGATGGACAGACAGGGTCACCCATGTGGAAGTGTTAAGGAAAACAAGACAGATCCCAGTCAGAGATGAGGTAGGAAGAAGGCGGTGGCGATGGATTGGACATACTCTCAGGAAGTCAGACAGCTGCATAACAAAAAAAGTTTTGGATTGGAACCCACAGGGCAAGAGATCAAGGGGAAGACCTCGTGGAGCTTGGAGAAGAATAACAGAAATCGATGTACAGAAAAGTGGGAAGACATGGAATAGCACCAAGAGGCTAGCCCAGGATAGAGAAAAGCGGAGGGTGATTGTCCGTGGCCTATACCCTGGTGCAGGGTGAGAAAGGCAATGATGCTGATGATGATTGAAATGAAAATAGAAACAGATCAAATCAATTAAAATCTATTCTGAGCAAAAAGTGTTATCGATATGAGAGAGTACAAAAATATATTATAATGTATGTGGGTTGGTAAAGAATGTCGAATGCTACCAGAGAGTATATTTGAAAGAGGTTTTGTAGTTGCTCATCCTCCTCTTGTACTCGGCATCAAACTGCTCATTCATGGCTACGGTGAAATGGTTCTTCCAGTCCCCCACATCACCTAACAGAAAGATCAAGAGACGAAATAACATTTTTTTTTTGCAATAAGTGCAAGAAAATGGGAAATAAGTGAGCACATTTTTTTTTCTAACGTCTGTGCAAGAAACTCGATGTCAACATCATCATCATCATCATCATCACCATCATCATCATCATCACCATCACCATCACCATCATCATCATCATCATCATCACCATCACCATCACCATCACCACCATCATCATCATCATCATCATCATCATCATCATCATCATCATCATCATCATCAAGTCACTGCAAAGAGGCACCTCTACTCGCGTCGGAACTTCATTGGAGCATGAGATGGTACATTGTATCAGGATTTTGTGAATGAAGAGCTCACCCCACGTTGCCGAAGATGCAACCATGAAAAGGAGGGTGTCAAATACATGTTTGAATGTTCAGGAATGATAGCAACTCGAATGGAGTTATGTGGACGAGTGGGGGTGCTTCTGAGTGTAATGAAAATGGTGCCGAAAAAGAGCCTCGCTCTTGCTCGAAGATTTCTTCGTGGAGTCCATAAGGCCCATTAAGGGGACATATTTTTCATTTTTAAAAATCATCGTTATCATCACAGTATGTCAAGTTAATGTCTTCTTTCTGGTCTACCCTTCAACCCTATTTTTCTCTTTCTCAGTTCCAAACCATCAAACTTTGACGATCTTATCCCAAGCAATAAATCAGATCTTGAACTTTAATATTATGATGAAAATGGAAGGTGGATTTTTACGGTGTTTTCAGAAAACAGGGTAAAGTACTTCGCTTTTCTCATTTATTTCTGTGTGCCAAATGAGACCGTTCTATATCTATTAAAAAATGATGACTTAATTGTTGTGCTACAAAATCTTTTCTTTTACTACTCCGCGAAAAAAAAAAGTTTCTGGGAGTTCAGACCAAAATCAGATCTCAGACTTTTCAGTAAAGAGGCAAATCATATGATAGTCGAAGAAATGTACACTCATAAAATATATATATATATATATATATATATATATATATATATATATATATATATATATATATATATATATATATGCATATATATGTGTGTATATATATATGTGTGTGTATATATACACAGATTATAAAGGAACACAAACTCACACGTGCCCACGCACACACACAAACAGGAAACTAATAGTCTCACATAAATTATAACATTTGTACAAATACATACACAAACACACTTACGTACTAGTTGACATAATGTAGACTACACACGCGCACACCTCTGTGTTCACTCATTATCATCTTTATTTCAGACTTGGGTTTAAAAGGTCATTAGGCAGATTCTTATGTCCTACCTTTGCGATAAAATGATGGCGTCCTCTCTTTGAAGAAGTCTTTGACAAACTCAGGTATCAGTTCTTCTCTGGCTTTCTTCAATGTGTTAAACCCACAGGCCTTTGCGATTTCTTCACACAATTCTTTGCTGCAGCCCGTCTCCAAATAGTCGTTTAGCTTCATCACTGATCCCACTGGGTCCTGTGTGTGTGTGTGTGTGTGTGTGTGTGTGTGTGTGTGTGTGTGTTTGTTTGTTTGTGTGTGTGTGTATATGTGTGTGTGTGTGTGTGTGTGTGTGTGAGTGAGTGTGTGAGTGTGTGAGATACAGGGAATGGGAAAATAGTTTATTGACAGCAATCATGTTGAGGTAATGACATTCATTCCTTTTTTTTATCGAAGCTTATGGGCCAACAGAGGAACTAAGCAGAATGGTCCAGTATAATATGATACATACCGATCTTCTTCAAGTGTGAAGAAGAACAACAAGCGACATCTCACCTATAGGCCAGGTGTGTGCAGGGTGAGGGAAACTAACCAGCATTTCTTGCCGTCCCAAACTGTGTGCCCATTTTCCAAGTGCCGCCAATGGGGATATTTTTCGTATTTAAACAATTGTATTGATTATGAGAAGCTCTGTCAGTAAAAGCACCGTGTCCATGCTGCTGCAGCATCAAAAAGAGACCGAGATGGCATTCAATGTTTGATATTTATTAGTACAATAGTTGTTCTTCTTGTAGTTTGTGTCGCCTATTCTATTGACGCAACACAAGAGCTATGTTTATTATTTAGAAATAATATGTGAGGCAGCGTGGTGGAATCAGGCTCTCGTTAAAATAATCAAATTGAAGAAACTTGCATTTTCCCGCAGGTTTATGAATTTTAATCAAATTTTTGTTTTTTGGCTCAACATCTTTCATGCCCATTAAAAAACTAATTTCTGTGGAATTTTTCTTCGTTGATTAAAGGCCAAAAAAAGAGTAAATTTTCAGTTATCACGGACTCTTACGCTAAGGAAATAACTAATCTTTGGTGGCCATTTTCTCACTAATTTTTACCTCTGAAAACAGGTGACCTCCACCTCCTTCTTTCGTAAATATCTCGACTTGTACTCAAGATAAATGGATATTCTTTTAAAAAAAATAAAGTCAATTGAGCTAGCTTTAAGATGATACCAATAAATCTACATGCCCAAAAATTGACGAGAGCCTGATTCCACCACGCTGTCTCACATATGTCCATTCGAGTCAATGCTTATCTCAAGGACAAAGTACAAAGGTGATTAATGAGCCATGAAGCTTGGAGCTAACGAAAATGAACACAGCTGTGTTGAAATTGAGACTACCATTAAAAACAATAGTTTCCACCTTTCTCTCTCGTCCTCTCTACCTCTCATCTCCCGATTCTTCCCCGTTA